CCCCCAAAGCCCCAGTAGATAGTTGTATGTCATAGCTGCACATCCTTCTACTTGCTGTATGTGGGACGCGGCCTCAGCATGGCTGGAGAAGGGGTGCACTGGTGTGCGCCCAGGATCTGAACCCGGGCCGCCAGGAGCGGATCGCAGGCACTTGACCGCTAAGCCACGAGGCCAGCCCCTCACTGTCTCAGATTCTGAGGCCCTTAGAGCCACAAGATCAGAGTGCATGATCAACTAATCTTGTCTACCTTTGTCTACTGTGATAGTGCCAAGTAGAGACACTCATTTTTTCTTTACCAATCTGGAGTTTGGCCCTAAGGAGCTCACCCTCCCCCCAAGAAATTTTATTTAAAATTGCATATTTTATCTTAAAATTTCACACAAGTTTTGCATTTTACTCTAGAACGTAACCATGTTTATTTAAATAAAAAAATATATTTTCCTCTGATCTCTGAGTAAAACCGATGCTCCAGGGAGATGTGTCATGTTTCTTCTGTGGTTTCTTAAACCCCCTGGTACCTAACACTTCTGGGTGAAGCACTACCTCATTTTGAGAAACACAATCCCAGACTACAGGTTTCCTGCAGTACGTTGCTTTTGCACCCTCCCAATAGCAACTAAAATACTACTCCCTGAATAACCACAAGTTTGATATATATGATGGAATAATAATAGCACCTGCATTTTAATAGTGCTTAAGCATTTGTAAAAACGACTTCATATCTCATTTAACATTCACATTTAAAAGAATGTCAAATTCAAAAACATCAAATTATAACTATGCATCAACTAAATCGTGTGAAGCTTGTAAGTGAACTTTCACTTTTCTCCAAAGGGGAAGCCTGATGCTAGAACTCTAGCCACCAATAATTCAGACCTATTTCTATAATACAATGCTAACATATGCTTCAACAAGATAACTGCTATCGCTAAAATTATCAGGCATAGTTACAATACTTGAACTTTGAAGGTTCTTATAAGAATGTCTTTCTTCTTGTAAAACTCCTAGGAATTTAAATGTGTCATATTTTAGCCACATCACCACTGTCCTGAGTCTACTTGCGACAAAAATTGTATTTAATGGCTTAGTGTTTCAATCAAAACAATTCTTTTCCTCAGGGAATCTGATCAAATGAAATTACAGGCCCACACGATTTCCATCCTAGTGGACTTTAAGGTCAATAGCAATGAATAGGTTATGTAAAACTAAATTAACTTCTCCTCCTTTATGTGATGCATCCTAAGTACAAAATAAATTGTAATTCTCTTGTAAGTTATTAAAGTAAAAACGCCTCACTTTACCTCTCTTTAAAAAACAAACTAAATTGTATTGATGGTTGATACTGCCCCCTACCAATGGATTTAAGGGCAGCAAGGAATGGCCTCTTCCACGATACTTTCCAAATTCATGCAAAGATTATATATTGACCCAGAAAAAATCCCTCCGAAGAGGGAGGGGCAGGCGCGGGAAGAAGGCAGAAAAGGGCTCAGGAGCTCCGAGGCCTCGTTAGAGGAGGAGGACGTGGGACGCTAGGGAGAGAGCGCAGAGAAGCTCACCCACGGCGGGCCCCACGTGAGGCCCGTGGGAAGACAGTGGGGAGAAGCTGAGCTGCTTCCAGTTTAGCAACAGAGACACGGGCCTAGGGCCTCCCGCCTTGGGTAACGATTAAAGACCCACTCCCAGCAAGCTGTCTCCCGCTAAGGCTCTGCCCTCCCCTCAAGGCCTAGCAAAGAGGCGCCATGGTGGGAATGAACATCCAGGGACTTCAGTTTCAAGCACCAGCAGCCCAACTCACCGCGAGCCCCCGACCCAATTCATCTCCCCAAAACTTCTGAGCCAGAAGAGGCTGAGGTCCCCACGGCTGGAACTCAGACGGCTCCGTTCTATGCTGGGCCGCAGCTGCTTCCCCCTCAGCCGCCTCCTTCCGGGCCTACGGCCCAGCCTCCCTACAGCCTCTGGGGCCCAGGTAGGCTCCTTCCGGGCCTCCCGACAGCCTCTGCGGTTTCTGCGGAGCCCCTGTCCTGATAGGGCCGCAAGGGGCGCTGTGGCAAAGCAGCCCGCCTAAGGGACGAAGAACGCAAGAGTTAACCGCTCGGGCAAGCGAAGCCTAGGGAAATGAAAGGTCGGGCTGTGGCCACAGGGTTAGTGTTTCAAACCACCTCCACTATAATTTTATTTAGTTCTGTACTGGTCTCAGCCTTTTTTTTTTTTTTTTAGGTCAAAGACCAGACTTGAGGGAGAAAAAGAAGGCAAGAACAAAGTTATAGATCCCTAGTGCTAAAGATGGTGTTTCCATTCCCACTTATCACTCCATCCAAATCCTTTAAATATCTTTCAAGTGCAATTTTAATATTCAGTACACAGTTGTTTATTAGAAACATTGCACTGTAGTAATTTACTGTTCTGTGCATCTGGTGGGTTTCTGGGAGAGCTTGATCAAAACTTGATTTAGCTGTAAAGGCCCAAAGACTTTAAACACCTTACTGAAAAAAATCTCAAAACAAAAATTGGATTTTGCTGTTCATTTTTGTGTTATGTTTGTATATCCTCACAAAACATTTATCTTACATGCTGTTCTATGATATTTTGGTTAGAAACTAGAAATCTCCTGTCCCAAACAAATACACAAAGTACTTTTTTTCCCCCACGTGTCATAATTGTTTTCCAGATTTTAACCTGGGCAATATCTCATATTTTCAAATATAATACATTTTCTGTTGTCATTGGAAAATAGCACCTAAAATATAGTGGCTTAAAATAGGATTATGTGCCAGGGTAGACATCTTGTTTAATCATATAAATACTGATTTTTATAACAAAAATTCACCAAAGTATATCTATCATTGGTTTGAATTAAACCAGGTGAGTATAGCATTTCAGAACAAATTAGTCTTGGGCGTGGAGTGGCTGGTCATTTTTCAGTAACTAAACCATACAGTCAAGGCAGAAGCAATGGCCCAGGGCATTAGCCTTTCCTATACTCAACATTTTAAAACAGGTACAAATTGACTAAATTAACTAGAAGGGGAAAATAATTTGATAGAGGATTGACTGACTTTTTTTGATATATTGTATATGAAGGGATGTAAAGGAGAGGTTGACCAATTTGTTGAGAGGAGTCAGAAACTGGGAGCTAGATAGAACCATCTCTTCTCTCTGACTAGAGTCACTGCTTTCCTTCCAGTCACAGGGAGGCAGTGGAAGTGGTGAATTAGCTAAGGAAGGATTAATCTATGAGATACGTCTTCAGGCAAGGTATTTACTGGCTTTTCCTTCACAGCAAAAGACATTTCCTTATGAACTAATTATTAGGTAGATACTTGTAACAGCTGAAATATTGACCTAAGATCTCATCTTCAGTGTTGTTTATGCCTCACGTGAATAAGGCTAGCATGACTGATAGATAATGAGTCAAACGCTGTGCTATTTTAGGGCCAGTAGGACAATTAGGTAATCTCTTGGGTCACAAAACAGTTCAAGAAAGGAATACAGCACAGATAAAACTTAGCATTTGTTGGGAAGGAAATCCATCCCCAATCTTAAACCTTAATTTATCTTTATTACTAAGAATTATTTACTTTCTGGTGATTTACTATCTAAACACATGACACATATTATCTACATTATATAGTTTTATTTATATACTTGTATATGTAGGTCTCTTTATTATAAAAAATTATTTCTGATGTTTTGCAGTTTATAAAGCATGTAGTTTTTCTAATATATGTAAATATAGATAGTCTCTAATATATACAAAATCTATTTAATCGTGCTTTTCCTTGGATATTGGTAGTGTTCACTTTGACACTGACATTGAGAGTATCACACTTGAGAACAGAGTAATTTGGTAATTATTGCTTATTTTTTTATTTTCATTCATTTTTGAGATCTTTTTCTAAGATTATTTCTCTCCTCTTAGGAAAATTTTAATACTTTCCCATACAAATACGTGTAAAGTTGAGAAGCTTGAGTGGAAATTAGGCTGAATTATTTTCTATAGTAACAAGTGACTTTTTTTTCCACCTCTTTTTTCTCACCTAGTTTGGAATTCAAACTAAATTAACATTCTCTTTGTTTTAATTGCATCCTGGCAGTATAAAAAATGAAAGAAATATCTTGACATTCTTAGTTTCTTACTTAAATGGCATATATTTCCAACTGGAATTACCTATCTGATTTCCTGTCATCTCGAATTCTTCCTCTGCCTTCCCCCAAGTCTTGAGCCTACTCTCAGATGCTAGGACCAACCCTGACCCTTGCGAGCAGGGTAGAGTGAAGGATGGGAGTGGAATTTAAATGGTTATAGTTACATCTGTACTTAAGTGGCTCAACATTAGGTCAAATCTCACATTGACCTTTTCCCCAGTTCCAGTAAGTGGTCTTCAACCTTTCCTGAACCACGATTCTGGTAACCAAATTCCTATCTTTCTATCTTGATTATTTTCCTCATTCCTAATTCCGCGTTCTAACAAGTCTTTCACTCGAGGCATTAAAAGCTTGTTCCTATAGCCCAGCCTCATTATCCGTTGGTAAGCTGACCTACCTACAATTAAGTGCAGGCCTCTTTCCACCTCTAAAGTTCTTTGCTTCTAGATTTCCCACTGCCCTGCTCCTCTCCTGATATGCCCGTCCTACTCCAGTGATGCAAGCCACTTGCCCCGACTGCCAGCTGCTTTCTGACCCATGCATCCCTCTGTGTACCGTGTTGTGCCTGGCTGAGCATCCTCCTATCACCCCCAGCTAAGTTTACCCTGGCCTTCCACCTGTCTCATCACAGTCAGGAGATGTGACATAAAAGAATTTAAATTCACAAATGTAAGGTAGCCTTATTTTGACACATGAAAAGCATGAGATTAGGAATAAAAGATTGTGACAATAACCACTATGACACTATGATCTCTACATACAGACTTAGAAAGTCTTAATGGAATGATAGATTGTGCTGCTAATACGGCCAGATATGAAAGAGACTTACATGAATTTGCCACTCATGTATTAGTAAACCTGCTGAATTGAATGCAAACAAATGAAAAGAGATCTGTGATGATTCTTGGAATTCATATAGATACCTGGGAAAGGAGGAGTTTTAACAGTTTAAGAATATTGTTGCTTATAAAAGTGAGAATAGTTCTTTATCCACAGTAAACAGAATAATGAAGATCATTCAACATGGAGACAGATTTGATACTCTAGCACAAGGGTTGGCAAACTTCTTCTGAAGAGGACCAGATAGTGAATATTTTAGGCTCTGTTTCATCTACCCAGCTCTGCCACTGTGACTTGAAAGCCATAGACAATAAGGAAATAAATAAATGGGTGTGGCTGCGTTCCAATAAAACTTTGTTTACGGACACTGAAATAAAAATTTCATATAATTTTCACATGCCACAAAATATTATTCTTCTTTTGATGTATTTTCAACCACTTTAAAATGTAAAAACCGTTCTTAGCTCAAGGGCCGTATGAAAATAGGCGGCAGGCCAAATTTGGCCCACTGGTTGGGTTGCAATTTGCCAACCTCTGTTCTGATTTAATGCATATCTTCCCAGGCGTCCTGGGAAGGTTGACGAGAAATGTGTATGTATGTTGTGTTGGGGAAGGTGGGAGTGGGGAAGCAAAAATGTTTTTGTATATTTGAGAATACACTCATCCTTGCCTTAAAAATTACATTTTTAAAAATATGCAGAAATTTGCTTAACCATTTAGCAGTTTAAGTCCTCCATTAGGGATGTAGAGAATTTTTAACACTCTTGATTTGTATCAGATAACCAAAATGGGAAGTAGCCAATAGATTATCTCTAAGCCTAAACAAAACAAAAGTTTGCAAAAGACGAGGAACTCTTGAAAAATGAAGTAAGGTCCTGGAGAAGCTATTTCCACCATCTAACTCCAGTTGGATTCCCAAATGGCTAACTTTTGGTTATAAAGTCACATACCTCCCAGTAACAACTATCTAAAAGACACAAGAGGGTGGCAGAAGTGAAACATTGCTCTCATTTATTTAATAGTCACCTTGTAAATAAACACCAGTGCATCCGATCTCCATTGCTAAAAATAGCAGTTATGGAGCTGGAAGACTTTTATTATAAGGACAAGTAAACATAGGGAGGGAGGTATAGCAAAGTATTACTTTCTGTAATACAGCAGATTTCTCTCCTACTTATTTACAAAAAATACCCTCAATTACAACTTATCTGATAGGTTCTGAGACTTCATATGAAACACAGACAGAAAAAATAAAATAAAATTTGGGTGGGGGGAGACCAAAAAACATCCAAGTATTTGATACTTTGTTTTTTCCAGTGTCCCTCCGCTTGTCACTTTCTTCTCTCTCCCTTTCTGATTCATTCCACACTCATTCACATTCATTCCACATCCTTTTCATATTCATTTGATGTTGATGCTCGTGCCCCTCCTCCCTCATCTCCCTCATCTCGTTTTATAGCTCTTGGAAATTTCCCTTTCTTTTTGCTCTTCCCGGTGTGATATCTACTAAAGCCGTAGAGGAGTGATGTATATTCTGAAACTTCTGTGCGTTTCCAAGTGACGCTGAGCATGCTCAGTAGCTAGGGCAGGTTTTGTCGCCAGCCCCTGCCCTGATTCGACCTCTCCCAAAATAGACATTTAACTCTTTGGACTCCCGTTTAAGGATGTAATTCGCTTTGCTCTCTCCTCCTTTTCAAGGTTCAAAGGGAAGCAGCGAGGATTCCAAGGTCCCACCACCCTCACAGCCAATGAGGGGCCTGAGAGGGAGGAGCTTGGGGCGGCTTAGTGCTGCTCGAGCTTCTGAGGGAATCATCCCCAGTAGATGCAGCGGAGTCTGAGCTCTGCTGCATCTGCCCCAGCAGAACAAAATTTTAAAAAACAAAACCAAAAAACAGAAGAGGAGAGATGCTGCAGACTATGGAACGCTGTAGGACTTTCTGAAACATTTCCTGGGGATTCCGGTGGAGCATGATCTTTTAAAACCAATTCTTTTTGAAGCCGGTTTGGGTAACTGGGAAAATGACACATATGCTAAATGCAGCAGCTGATCGAGTGAAATGGACCAGATCGAGCGCTGCTAAAAGGGCTGCCTGCCTGGTGGCTGCGGCATATGCTCTGAAAACCCTCTATCCCGTCATTGGCAAGCGTTTAAAGCAATCTAGCCACAGGAAGAGAAAAGAAGCAGCTTACCCGGCTGCAGAGAACAGAGAAATACTGCATTGCACCGAGACCTCTTGTAAAAAACCTTCGCCTGGAGTGAATGCAGATTTTTTCAAACAGCTACTAGAACTTCGGAAAATTCTCTTTCCAAAACTTGTGACCACTGAAACCGGGTGGCTCTGCCTCCACTCAGTGGCTCTAATCTCAAGAACCTTTCTGTCTATCTATGTGGCTGGTCTGGATGGAAAAATTGTGAAAAGCATTGTGGAAAAGAAGCCTCGGACTTTCATCATCAAATTAATCAAGTGGCTTATGATTGCCATCCCTGCTACCTTTGTGAACAGTGCAATAAGGTATCTGGAGTGCAAATTGGCTTTGGCCTTCAGAACTCGCCTAGTAGACCATGCCTATGAAACCTATTTTACAAATCAGACTTACTATAAGGTGATCAATATGGACGGGAGGCTGGCAAACCCTGACCAGTCTCTTACTGAGGATATTATGATGTTCTCCCAATCTGTGGCTCACTTGTATTCCAATCTGACCAAACCTATTTTAGACGTAATCCTGACCTCCTATACGCTCATCCAGACTGCTACATCCAGGGGAGCAAGCCCAATTGGGCCCACCCTATTAGCAGGGCTTGTGGTATATGCCACGGCTAAAGTGTTGAAAGCCTGCTCTCCCAAATTTGGTAAATTGGTGGCTGAAGAAGCTCATAGAAAAGGATATTTGCGGTATGTGCACTCCAGAATTATAGCCAATGTTGAAGAAATTGCCTTTTACAGAGGACATAAGGTAAGATAGAAATTAAGATGATGGGTGAAATGTGAGACTGTTCAAGCTGCCTCTGCAGTGCTAGATACCATCTGTTGTTCTGTTGATGGACCCACTTCTTTAGCATTTTAGATAGATTCCTGTGACATCTACACCTGTACTAAAATACATGCTTCATTACCCTTTATACTCACAAGCTGGTAAAGAATTATAGAGTGCAAACTTTTCTGAAGTTTCATGAGAATAAAATTTTCAGCACTCTAAAAAACAATCTACTTAGCCTCAGTTACCCAAACATACTCAGAATTATCTCTAAAGCATTTTCTTAAAACTTAAATCCTAACTGGTCCTAGAACCTTAGTAGAAAATATGTTTGGAAACTAAGTAAACACATTTCCATTGAGATGGAAATTTTAGTATGGTATTCTTTTGTTGTTGTTGTTGTTCCTTTGTTTTTCAAGAGGGGAAAAAACATGCTTTCACATGAGAGACAATTTTGACAATTTTGCATGTCTGGTCAATGACAGAGTGTCCTCAGTCCTAAGAAGTGCAGGAGAGTGTGTCCCACAAATGGCATTTCCATTACTCTTAGTTAATGTTCAGCACCATGTTTTGACACAAATAAAAAGAAGCAGTGAAACGAAATTTTGTCTGGCTTTGAGGGAAAAGCTAAGATTAGAGAAGAAATGAGGAGAAAAGGAATTCCAGAATGATATTTCTAAATAGTAAAGATTTTCAACGTTAAGCAGATCCCTCAAATAGCCTAATTACATAAAATTGCAGTGCATTAAAGTAACTTCAGAATCTTAAATATGACAGAAATTTTTGTGATGCATCTAAAATCTAAACACAAATGACTTGGCAAATGAAATATTAAGGTATTCTAAAGTTGAAAATGGTATTTTAATTCTCAAGCAGAATTACTTAATTTTTGAAGCATCATTAATTATCAAAAAAAATTTTATAGTAGTACAAATGTGAAGATGAAAATTTAAAATAAATTTAGGACTTCTTCTCCCACTTGAAAATTGGCCTTATATGTTGTATTAATCACATTGATATGTCATTCTTCTTGAATCACTGAACTCAATGATGTAAATTGTAGCATGCTGTGGACTTCTTGCATTGAAGACAAAATCCAGTAAATTGAGTTAGTTCAAAAGTGGAGTCTAATTACACACATGTGTGTCCTGTGTTTATTTTCAGATATTTTTAGTGTGATCAAGGATAAGGTTCTCACATTGTTTATTCATGTCTTACAGAATATCATTTAATTAATTATTTATTTTTTTTTGCCCCCAAAGCCCCAGTAGATAGTTGCATGCCACAGCTGCACATCCTTCTAGTTGCTGTACATGGCCTCAGCATGGCAGGAGAAGCGGTGCGCCGGTGCGTGCCCGGGATCCGAACCTGGGCCGCCAGCAGCGGAGCGCACGCACTTAACCGCTAAGCCACAGGGCTGGCCCCAGAATATCATTTAATTTTAACTTCATACATATAATTTTGTGTGTGTGTGTGTGAGGAAGATCAGCCCTGAGCTAACATCCATGCCAATCCTCCTCTTTTTGCTGAGGAAGACTGGCCCTGGGCTAACATCCGAGCCCCTCTTCTACTTTATGTGGGATGCCACCACAGCAAGGCCTGACAAGCAGTGCATCGGTGCGCGCCCGGGATCCGAACCCCGGGCCGCCAGCAGCAGAGCGCGTGCACTTAACCACTATGCCACAGGGCCAGCCCTTAACCTCATACATATAATTTTGAAATAATAATTATAAATCGCTTATATGTATTATTATCACGGGTTTTTTTTAAATAATACAGGTGTAACCAAATTAAATAATAATGACTAATTCTTATATTAATCTGTATTTATTGGTTGTTAGAATCATAGATCATACTATACTAAATAAAATAAAATAATATATACTTATCTTTAAAGAAAGCCCTCAAACATACAATATTTATTTTTATAGCTCATGTTGGGTTAATTTTTACCTCCTTTTTCCCTCTATAGGTAGAAATGAAGCAACTCCAGAAAAGTTACAAAGCTTTAGCAGATCAGATGAACCTCATTTTATCCAAACGTTTGTGGTACATCATGATAGAGCAGTTCTTGATGAAGTATGTTTGGAGCAGCAGTGGACTAATTATGGTGGCTGTACCTATTATCACTGCAACTGGCTTTGCAGATGGTGGTAATGACATTTATGCTTAATCTCCAATATATGTTTAAGATCATTTCTCTTGAAGGTGTCACTGCTGGTTTTGTGTGAGTGAAACTGTATGTAGCCATTTATTCTATAGTCATTAATGGTCAGAAACAATGGCAGACTTTGCAACATCCAATAATAAGACCTGCAGTGTGAAAGGAGACAGGTGGCTCAAAAGTCTTTTCCAGTTCTGAGATATTTCAAATTAATACCTTCAAAAAGAATACAATACAAGTTCTCTCCATGTGTTGAAAACTTCAGTTCTGCACATCCCATATATTTAGACTATAAGTATTCTATAACTGGATCTGCCCTGATTTGTAATTTGAAGAGTTGTTTGATTACATTAGGCAACCAGGAATATTGTTTCAGGGAGCATTTCACACCATGGAACAAAGTCTCCTCTACTTGTAGGTAATATAGGTAAACCTCCTATGTAGCATGATTTGGTGGCATTGTGGGGGTAGGAGTTGTCAAGGTGCCCATGTCTAATTCTATCCTATCACCACCTCAATGGTTTTTACTAACATTTTTCATCCTCTGGAGTAACTAAGAAAAATAAGGGCAACAAGAACAATATTAAAACGTTGTGTAATACTTGAGATGGGAGTTTGGGTCTTAATTGGCTGGGACAGAGGGGAATTAATTAAAGAAGCAGCATTTTCTGCTCTTCCTCCAAAATAAAACATTCCCCCTCCTCTTTAAAAACCACCTGACCAAAATTGGCCTTAGTGCTGAAGGAGCTCGATAAAAGCATGGGCTTTGTAGTGAGACAGAGCCTTGCTCAACTCTTGCTTTCCCTCTTCCTGCCTGTATCCTCTTAGTCATGTTAATTAAACTCTCTGAACCTCCGTTTCCTCATCTGTAAAATGAGAATCCAAAAGGCTACTTCAGAGGACTGTTGGGAGGATTTAATAGAATAATGTTTATAAAGTACAGATCGTGCTCTTGATGTTCTTGATACAGAGAGACAGTTATTACCTAGAAAACAAAAGGCAACACTAAGAATAATGTAACAGAATTCACACTATTTTACAGCTATTTTTGGTGTAGAATTAAGGATTAATAGTTACTTGTTTGAAGTCATCTAATAAAAACAAGTAAAAAAATTACCATATAATTTAATATTTTGAAACAGTGCTTCAATGCTTTAACCAATTCTTACAAAAACGCTTGTTAAATTTGAGTCATTCTTCACTTAAAATTGTTCATTAGTAAATTAGGATTTGTCAATCCCTTGTGATAAATACTATATATATACCAAATATACTCCACAACTCAACTGTCTAAAGGTGTCTTTAGACAACTGGGATAACTGCATTTTATCTGTTTTTATGTTTTCAAAATTTATTTTTTAAAAAAATCATTAAAAAATGTTTATATCAAAAATTACATTGTTAGTAATAGCATTTTTAGACAATCCTTTCATAATGAAATAAAATAAATTGCTTTTTCAAGAGAATATTAGAGGAAAAAAATATGGTTTTAAGATTAGTTTTAGTAAGAAACAACAAAATTATCAGATGTTCATAGTGAATCTCTCTAAGTGTATGGATATCTTAAAAGTTTCATATATAATGCATATATCGAGACAACACCAATGACATGATTACAGTGTAGTTCTGCCAGTCCTTGGAAGCACTGGTCTTACTACAAAACCCTGGAGTACTCAGCATAGAACAGAGAAAATGCAGCTATTAATGGTGACAAATTAACCCCACAGAGACCAGGAAGAAGTAAACAATGTATGCAAAGAGTCTAACAATATTACTTCTACAGATGATGTAATAAGATATTTGAAAATAAATCCTATAAATCCTTTAAATACCATATTAAATTAAAGAAACAACGTTAAAATTTGAGATTGAAATTTTGATGATAATCACATTGATGCAAGTAAAACTTAACAGTAATTTTTTTGTGTGTGTGTGAGGAAGATCAGCTCTGAGCTAACATC